TGTGTGTCTGTGCATGTGTGTCTGTGCATGTGTGCGTGTGCATGTGTGCATGTGTGCGTGTGCATGTGTGCATGTGTGTGTTCCTTACAGCTATGACCACTGTGATATCAGCAAAGGAGTCCAGAGCAGGAGCAGCGAGAAGATCAGAGAACAGCAGAACCAGCTCCCTGTGAGAACACACATTCAATGTTATTACACGTGTGCATCATTTAAGGTTCTACTGGCTCATCAGTGCCTGAACACCTGCGTCACACTTGTCCTCCCTCATCAGATGTGCTTAAATGAACCTTTCACATGTTTAAATTAACTTTCAGCTCTGGTTGTTTGCTGTGGTGTGACACTAATGGTGGCCTGTCCTCTTCACCGTTCACCTGCAGGTCCTGATCTGTTTGCTCCTCAGCTCCTCGCCCTCATCCTGCAGAGTCAGGGTGACGCAGACCAGCTGCTTTGGGTCAGGAAGACTGAGGAAATACAGGGACTGGTGGCCGCTGCTCATCCTGCACACTGCTGACACAGGGAAATGACCAGGGTTAGCATCAAAGGGTCATAACATGAGTTCAAAGAGCTTCTGTGAGGTTCATAAGACACAACCAGACAAAATATACTTTAGATAAGCCGACAGTAACTGATTCTCACTCCAAATATGACCAAACAGACACGTTTTAGGTTTCGAAATGACAGTTCTGTCAACGTAATGATCTGTTAAGTCCTTTAATTTATATTTACTTGTCAAAAGTTCCTACACAGAAGAAAAATGCTCAGATAGAAAATTGTATAATCTCCAAAAAACGGTTGGATAAAAAATTGAGGGTAATAGAAGAGGATATAATTATAATTTAAATAAATAATAATAAATAATAGCTTAATGTTGATCCATATTTATAGTTTGATCTTGAATTACTTAAAATCACCCTTATAACCACTTAAAAACTTACTGCAAACACAATAATCATTTTTAAACATTAAGCTGAAGTTTTAAATCGGTCTCTGTCACATTTTTGTGCCTCTGACCTGAAAACTATAAAAGCTAATGCTATCGATAGGCTAGTAGCAGCTAACGCTAAGTTAGAGCTGCGCTTTTTTTTTAAGAATTGTTTTAATTTTAAATTTAAAGTTAATATCTCAGTCACTAACCTTGTTTCTAATGCTTACACTACACCAAAATGAAACTTATCTTCTGTTGGAAATAGTTTTGTTAGAAAGAAGCATTTCAAAAAGCCCAAATACAAGATATAAGGTTAGCAAAACTCTCTTTAACAGTAGTCAAAGATGGGTGAGAGAAGAAGAGGAACTCTCACTCTCCTTCGTTTAGTGAAATAAATCTTTTCTATTGAAGATGGGGTGCCGTTTATATGTGTATGTTTACAAGCTGCATATTAATAACTATTTAATAAAATGCATGTTAACGACTCCTTAACAGAACAAGTGGAGCATGATGCCTGATTAATGTTTAGTCTGATTTAACTTTTTTTTTTTGCTGCATAGTGATGAGTTGTATTAATAGAAGAACTTTGAGTTCAGGTTCGCGTGTTTTCCCGCCGTAGAGCCGCTCCAGTATCAGTCTAAATTTTCTACTCTGAATGCCAACTTATGACATAACATTAACCAAGTTATGCAGGTCAAATGGGATTTGCGACTACAACCGGATGTCCGGCTGCCCGCTGAAACGCTCAGATTAGGAAAAAAAAATCTCAGTACGTGGGCTACGTGAGAAGACCCGAACCGTTGCGTGAGAAGTGAGTTTCCTTGACAGCCGATGAACTCCGGCGAACTTTGCCCTCGTCCTCGCCCATAGTCTCACTGATGATTGGCACGGGAAGAGCCAATCACAGACGACCATTATCCTGGAGGAGGGAAGGAAAAGCCAATAGCATATTAGGAGAGCGGTGGGGAGGGCGGTCTCCGCCAGTGTGTCAGGAACTTTGAGACACCATCATAAAGCAACCAGTAATAACTACGAGCACAACGGAAATTACAAAGCAGTATTTCATAATAAAAGCACAATGCAGCATAATAAGGATAATAACGACATAAATAAATAAAACGCATAGGTTTAGTACACCAGCATATTTGCAATGAAATATATAAGCTATAGATATCAGGGCACTTATTTGAGGAATCATTTGAAGCATTATGTTACTTAACTTTAATGTTATTTTGTAAAGGTCATGAAAATAAAATACTTCAACTTTTTGCTGATAACTGCCATTCTTTCTGAAGAAGTCCGTTTCACTAACCGGAGAAAGCTTTTATTTTGGAGGCAGCAGCAGGAGGCGACACTGAGCTCAGGTGAATTCAGCAGCTGGGGTTTGCTCAGCGCTGGAAGTTAGCGTGGACTCTCTCTGGGGTAAATGTCGGTGTGTTTTTGTGGACTCACTGTCTTGACACCCTCGCTGCGATTATATAACTTCGGACAGGCTGCTCAGCCCTCAGAACTCGCTCGCACAGCGTCGCACAGATGGGTGAAGAGAAGAAAAGCTCCGAGGGAGTGAAATACTACAGACTGGCAGAGATAGAGAAGCAGAACTCCTTCAAATCGACGTGGATCATCATCCACAACAAAGTCTACGATGTGACCAAGTTTCTGGAGGAGGTGAGCTCGGTGTCTGGGTGTCTGGGTGGTGAGGGTGGTGGGAGTGCGGCGGTATTATGTGTGTGTGGAAATCAGCCAAAACAGGAAATGAGGAAACTAGACACCCTGAACTGAGAGGGAGAAAAATCCAACCAAACCGCTTTTGGATGCATCTTTAGCAGCTTGTAGTTTCACAGTACAGACTGGAGCCTTCTCAGAATCGCAGGGGTCCCAGGAAGGGCCCCAGAGGAACCCGGCCAACTTAAACAATAAGTCAAAGGTCAGATGGGAAGTATCCGAATCAGGGCAGGTGTCTCCGCTACAACGGAGACCGGATTTGTTTGGGTTTTGTGGTCTATGGAAGCCCAGAAATACCAAAAGACTCTGGACATAGATGGATAGGATTATTGATTAGAAACTGGATGTCTGTGTTCTGTGGGACTGTCAGGCTGAACGAGTCAATCCTGGATTTTTCATTTTTAAACTGATCGTGTTTTATTGGGAAATTGTCAAAAATGTAATTGATCTTCAACACTTTCAATTTCTGATCAAAAACGATTTCGTGACAATAAATGATGGTATTGATCTTTGCATTGATTAAAAGCCTTTAAACTGGCCAGACACCAGCTTCACTGACCAACGCCTGTCTGTACCTAATGTTTGCTGATGTTGGGACATTTAGTGATGATTTCTTTGTTTCACTGGAACAAAAATGGGAATAAAACAACAAAAACATATTTCATAATAATAATAATAATGTATGTAAAATTTTAATTAAAACATTTTGGCAGATTTACATTTTTAAACATTTAACTATAAACCTGAAAGGACTTTTTTTCCAGTTGATCAATATATGAAATAAATCCTTGTGACGAACGACGCTCAGCCAAATTCTAATGTCGGCCTGATATCTGTGTTTAAGCTAATTAAAGGGTGTTAGCGATGTCAGCGGCTTATTTATCTGTCAAAGGTCACATGAAAGAGTTTCGTTTTAGTCGCAGCCCCTGAGACGTTATTGATTATCGTATTAAACCTGAGAAATAAAGCTATCCCTGCAAACCTGAGTGATTCCTCATTAAAGCCAAATATTAGCAGCTCAAGCTGCTCAGACCTGAGTGTTTCTGTGGCTCAGGGGGTTGGGAAGCGTATCTGTAACCGGAAGGTCGCCGGTTCGATCCCTGGGCTCTCTGTCCTGGTCGTTGTGTCCTTGGGCAAGACACTTCACCTACCGCCTACTGCTGTTGGCCAGAGGGGCCGATGGCGCGATATGGCAGCCTGGCTTCTGTCAGTCTGCCCCAGCTGTGGCTACACCTGTAGCTGCCTCCACCAGTGTGTGAATGTGAGAGTGAGTGAATAGTGGCCTTGTAAAGCGCTTTGGGTGCCTTGAAAAGCGCTATATAAATCCACTCCATTATTATTATTATTAGAATTTTCTGTTCCGATTGTTGAGCTGACTGATTTTGATTAAGTTAAGGTGAAGTTACTCTGGGTACCTGCAACATTTAAATAAAAGTTTTAGACCAGTTTAGTAGTGTTAGAGAGATGACCCTGTATGCAGCACATGGCAACAGTGGGAAGGAAGAACTTCCTTTTAACAGGAAGAAACTTCCAACCAGGCTCAGGCAGGTTTGGCCTCTTTGAACATATGAATGAATAAATGCGTCCGACTGCCTCTGATTGGTCTAGAAAAGGTGTGATGGTTGATATAATGAAGTGGTACCTGGCCGTCTGTGTGCAGGTTTATTGCAGGTTTAACGTGCTGCTCTGAAGCACAGAGCGATCTAAGGCCGTAAACATGGATCGTTTCAGTTTGCATGCAGCAAATGTGACTGCTGCACACAACGCGTCAGCCCCACGACCCTTCACCTCCACCTCCGCTCAGCTTTACACCGTCCCTCTGCTTTCAGATATCGTCAGGCTTCAGTTTTCTGCTGATTCACTGGATGAACTCTGCCACAGTTTGCTCTCTGGCTTTGTGCTGCAGACTCTGGTGAATCATTGGCAGACTGCAGTGATGCAGCTATGGGGGGGCTGGGTTTATAACATGTGACTACACAAAGAGAGATAACTGGCTCTGACTCACTTCAGATCTAAACCAGATGTGTTTTCATTGTTAATTTAATCCTGGAGACGTCAGCATATGTGTGGAATTGTTCAATTAAAGATGAACAGCAGGAAGTTTTTGATCCAAATCAGAAATATCCAGGAAACTGGATCCACTGGTGGAAGTGTTCACACCCTTTACATGCAGATATAAGCACTGGATAGCAGAGCTGATTGGGGTTGATGAGGTGAGCATCAGTTACATGCTGCACAGCTGTCCATGTTTGCTTTGCATGATGAGACAATGAGCATGCCCCGGGTGGTCCCTCTTTTTACTTCCTGCAGACTTATGAGGTTTTGTGGTCACATGACAGCTAGTCACATGATGTTAATGATTTGGACATGTAACAGTGTAGAGACTAAAGGTCTAGGGACCAGTCTGCAACCATCTGCCAACCTCAGGTCACTGGGAGAAAATGATTATTCTCCAACTGGTTGGCCAGAGGGTGCTGGCAGACCTGAAGGCCAGACATTGACTGCCTGGAAACTACTGGTTGCTAGGGAAAAAATGTATTCACCAACCACTTACTTGTGATTTCTTTGGTCGCTAGGCTTGCAGACTGCTGTGTCACCTGTAATGTAACAGACGCTGCATCTGGAAACATGACAAACAAACCCTTTGAAACATGGCGGCCGCAGCACTGCGGTGGAGCTTTTACTTTGACAGTAAACGTTCTCAACTTCCAGTTTGTGTCACAGTTTCAGGTTTCAGCAGCGCTCAGCGAGCAGTTAGCCAGTGTTAGCAGAGAAGTCAGTGTCTTCCATGCAAGCTACGGGCAAATGTGACAATCGGCTCACAACCAAAACAATCATCAGCCTGCTCACGCTTTGTTCTGGGATCAATAAAAAGCCCAAAAGTGGCTAACTTCCAAACCCTAACAGCCAGCTAGCTAACCTGAGTGTGTTTCCTCTCTTATTAAAAACAATCTCCCCTGAAGTCATTTATTTTTTATTTTTATGGGGAGTTTCCTCCGTTTATTGATGTTAGCGATTAGCAGACTCTAAGCTAACGTTAGCTAGCACTAGTCCATGTTGGTGACTAGAACAAAGGAGGCTTCATATCCTCAGGATCTGGTTTTAAATACTGCAAAAGTACAATAATTTATACAATTGAAAGTTACAACAAAGCTAACTGCTGCTAATCATTAAGGACTGATCTGTGAATATTGTGTCCATCATTTCATGGGTTGTGGTTAGAAGTCTATTGATTAGCAAATGTCTTCACAAAGGTCAGATTAGTGAGTCACAGTGTTACGCAGAGGCCGCGGTGAGGGAAACATCAGACTTCACTCTATCTTCACTGAAGTAATTGTTTTATTGTCTCTTGCCAACATCATGCACAAGTACTCTAAAGACCACGCCTTCTCAATACAGACTGGCCTATAAAAGAGCTGCAATCGAGGCAGGCCTCCTCTTCACTGGGGAAACAAGATGGCCACCACAGAGGGAACCTGCAGAACACTTTGTTACATGAACGCTTCCCAACACACAGGTTTTTCCTTTTAATTATCCATTACTCATCCCTGGGTAATTAGAGGGAGGAGTAATGGCTTCAACTGGTTATAAACTTACAATTAATATGAATTCTGTTTTTGGTTTTGTGTGAAGAAAATCTTAAACTGTAAATCAACTAAACCTGTCAGACAAATACAGGGAAACATTTAATACAAGACCCAGATGTGCACTCTAATGTGCACTCTAATGCCTGCTACAAAACTGAAGTACTAAATATCAGTAATCAGCTCAAACTGGTCCAACTAGAAACTACGGACCAGGCCAGAACCTTAGGTGTAATAATGAGAGCTGGACCTCCAGGGCCACATCAAAGTAAAAACAACGTCAGCCTTCTGTCACCTGAGGAACATTTCTAGGATTAAAGGACTGATGACACATCACCTAGAGAAACTCATCCAGGCATTTATCACCTTGATTACTGTAACAGACAA